AAATTAATTGCTAATCTAATTTGATTTCGATGCCAAATTAAAACTAATAATGAATTATCCTTACAATGATGATATATACAACAATATAAGCAAGGATATATAATGAAACAATAGACGATATAAACAATAAGAGAAAGATGAAAGTTACGCCAAAGACAATCACAAACACAAAGATATGATCACGGAGTTCGGTCAACCAACGATCTGCGTCTCCGCTCCTCTCCTCGAGGAGATTCTCCATTATATCACAAAAATCTACACAATCGGTTTTCAAAGTTCATCAAAAACTTTTACAATACACACATTGTCAATCCCACAAGCCACACTCCTTTAAGTGTTGGACTACCCGTGTTACCTTCCTCAAGTGTTTGGATTTACCACCTCTCCCTAGGATTTACCACCTCTCTCTAGGCTTTACTACCAACACACTCCTCTTGAAATTAACTCTGGTCTCTCTCTCCAACCATTCCTCTAAGTATTCTTGTGTATTACAACGTGTTCAACAATAAGTTCAAATAAGGATTTTGTTCTCTAAACAAGTGAACGAATATTAAGCTCTCTCTCCAAAAAAACACTCTCACAACCCAAATATACAATATGTGAAATACTAAAGCTCAAGTGGTTGTGCGTGTGAAATCAATGAGTAAAATAAAATTAAACTCAAATCAATCAAGCATAAATATATGAGAATCAAAATAATAAATAGCTAGAGGATGAGTTTAGAAAAGCTTCTCCAAAACAAAGAGAGATTTGAGATTTGAGGATGAACTCCGCAAAAATAAAATTGAGATCCTTCTTCTCTTTGTGAAACTTTCTTCACATAAATAAACACCCTTGAACTTAAAAACAAACTGGTGAAACAATCTTGTAAAACTCTTAGTGAAAAACTAAGTCTGGAGGGCTATTTATAGCCTCTCAAACAAAGCAACCCAAAACTAGCATTTACAGCAAAAAGTGCAGATCAGTCAACTGGTCAATTCCATCGATTGACTGATAAACTAGTCGTTGGCTAATTTTGGAAAATAACATACAGTCGGTCGACTGATAAAACCAATCGGTCGACTGATTTAATAAATCGGTCGACTGATAAGACTGAAAAATCAAACGCTAAAAAATTCTTCTGGTCGGTCGACTGGTAGAGTCGGTCGGTCGATCGATAGCTGATTTTTCAGATACTTAAACTACTGAAAACTTAATTTTCTAAATTCGATTAAAAATAGTAAATCGACTCCAAAATAGTAAAACTTGGAAAAATGTTTATATATATGACAATAAACATATTAGAAAAGAAATTTCTAATATAGCATTTCCCATTTGTGAAAACTCATCATTTTGCAAAACGTTCAAAAATATGAACTTGTTAAACACTTGATTTTGATAAAATTCTTTCAACCAAGTTTTGAGATTCTTTTCACTGGATTAATGAACTTTAAGAAATATGTAAAATATTATCATTAAGTCAATAATCCAAAAACACAATATATTCCGAAATGGATGTATGATACGATAAATCAAGAAAACGTGTACATGTATGACTAAGCTTAAAGTATAAACACATAGAGTACACAACTAAACTTAAAAACACTATACCCAAGACAATCGATCTGCATGAAACTTGATCTTGGACGATCCTCATCTTGATAGTAAGGATGAAACATGATCTCGTATTTGACTTGAGTGCAAGGGCTTCATTCCGAATTTCCACCAACCTCCAAGATATCGTCGTAAAGGTGCAATTCCAGCCAACCTCCAACCTGGATTCATGTTGGAGGAAAACACAAATACTAGAAAACAAGATTAGAAATTATTTGTTAATCATCAAAACTAGATTAGAAAGTAGGCTCATAAACATGAATCCTACAATTCCTCCATATATGAATGGTCCATATGGCAAACTTTTTCTTTCCCTCCTCCTTTTGTGATCGCAAATTCATGGCAATCAATCTGTGTTGTTTGGTTTATGAAACATTGTTGCTCAGAAGCAAAAAGATGGTCTATGAAAAATTATCATTAAGCATAAATAATAATTTGCGAAAACACATGCAGCTAATGTTGTTGGTCTTTGCTAAAACTTCCACTTTATACAAAATCACTGTAAGTTTGTAGTTGTAAAAGAATAAAGAGCTGCGCGCACTTTAATTATATTTTTGTGCAAAGCAAATTAACAACTCCCAACTCCATCGATGATTCAAGCTGGCTCTGGAGACTAGATTGTATCGGAGGCCTGCCCGGAGAAGATTGTCAAATTAGTTATAATTTTATATTAATTCTATAATATCCTCACAGACGTTCTTTTTTATGGACCGAAATCTGGACCGAGGCAACAATAATTTGCTTTAAATTCGTAGCGGATGAGATTTGTACCTGGGTTTTCTCTGAAATCATCTCAAAGCCCCTAATCATTATTAGTCTATAATTTTATATTAATTCTAACAAAGATAACTTATGGAATATTAAGGTTAGTAAGGAAAATAGTTGTCAAATAAAAAAATGACGAATTATAAAAACCCATATGGTGAGTGAGTCACCCACGTAATTAAATCACCGAACAGTTGATTGACATGCTCACAAAACAGCCATACCAAAGAAGAATAGGAAAATTAAGAAAAAAAAAAAAAAGCTGACCCTTGAGCTCTGTGAATTGAGGATTAATTGCACTGCTAGAGAGAGGAAGAGAGTTGAGACGCAAATAACGCTCAACTCGCTCTTGTTGTTGTTCTTCTTCTTCGCTTTAGAAATAGAAACAGATGGACAATCAGAGAGAGCGGTTGAGACGCACACAGCGTGGCACGACCGGAACCTCAACAGTGATCGTCCCCCGCCATGTGCGTCTCAAATGCACTCATCTCTTATTCTTCGATCTTCTTCTTCTTCCAGCCTCTGATGCGAAGCCCATCCTCACTCCTCTCTCCCTATATATATATATATAGCATGGTTTCACCGCCATCTAATCTCATGGCGGTGTAGAATTTAGAAGTCCAACTCCTAACTTTGGCCCTGTCATCTTCACCGTACGTCTAATTTGTACATATTTTTTTTTACAAAAAAATAAAAAAAATTTAAACAAATCGCCGTATAGTGGCTGTTAGCTGCTGCCTTGCCCCACG